TCTCAACCGCATGTCCCAGGACCCACGACCAATCCACCGCGAACTCCAGCGGCTCCTTCACGGGCCGCAGCGGCCGGGCGGAGAAGATGCAGGCGCCGATGGCTGGAAGAAGTGCCAAGGGCACAGCGCTTTCCACGGGTTGGTTTTGGGTGGGGTGGGGTGGGTGGGTAGGTTCAGGAGGGATGCAAAAACGTGAATTCCTCCCCCCCCCAAAAAAAGAAAGAAAGGACAAATCCACCACTGGTTTTTCCTGCCATGGCGACAAACAAGAGTGGTGGCTTCCCCATGGTTCTGTTTGCTGAAATGGCCATGGGGCATTACCTATGGCTCCATGTTGGGGCGGATGAACACGGATGTACCACCTATTTTGATGTTCACCAGGGGTACAGGGTTTTGATCCACACGCATATCTCAATTCTCACCCCCCAAAAGAAAAGAAAGCAGCAAGAAAAACACGCACAGATTCAATGAGTGCCAGTTTTGGCTCGTTTTCGCCATCTCTTTTTTGGGCTGTTGCACTTGCTGAATTTGATAATTGTATGTGTCTTCCGGGGCAAACGGACAGAATGGTGGGAAATGAATTGCTATGCTTCATCAACCTGCGTAATTTCGGTATTCCAAGCTTTGCTGGAATCTATGCTGTTTTGCAGTACACTCCCTCAGACTAACATGGAAGCTCCCAGAAGGCCTCTGAAATAGAACCAAGTCTTTCAAAGGGGTTGCGGGAGTTTCCATGTTAATCTGTGGGAGAGTAATCCGCAATTTTCAGTACTCCATACGCTCCAGCTGAGCCTGTCTTGTTGTAGCAATCCATTTGCTCCGGACGTATCTGCAGTGCAATCAGCGACCTCACGACCGGTTTTGGTTTGTGACCTCACACATGACGTTCATCGGGGACAGCTAGACAAACCGACAACCACACGCCATGGCCTGAGTTTTGGATGGTCTTTCAAAATGAGTTGACAAATTTGCCTGAGGTTGTTTGCTTGACAAGTCGCTTAAAAAATGGCCTAGACTTCGTGACTCTCAGCAATACCAAGAAGGACCTTGCGCAAGACTCTCTCTCTCAACCCTGGCGTACATGACTTGTTGTTATCTTCTTCTTTTTTTCGTGATGGTGGCGTATTTTGGGATCTCCTCATTTACTTGTGACCAAGAAACTCCATGGGCTTGGCGCACTGACTCCCTAACACTGTCCTTGGAAATGGTTTCGCCACCACACCATGATGCAAAAACAGGACAATATTACTTCTGAGTTGTTTAAACTAGGAGGTTGACCGTTTGTTTTTTACCGGTTTTCAACGTATCCTTTTGATTCCACTTCCCCAAGCTGGATTCCCCGACAAGATTGGCTACCCATAGCTTCCTTTCAAAGCAGATTTGAGATCTGTTACGCGAGCCCGACATAGAGCATACCCAAAACACAAGGTTTGGTCGAGGACGCAAGGTTTGGCTTCATCCCCAATAAACCTGTGCTGGGTGGTTTCTCGACCTCATCTGTGCCAGAATCAAGACACGCCTGTACTTGTGGTTGGTAGGGATGGCAATCAACCTCTGAAGGGGGTTCGCACAGCCAATGAAAAAAACAATTCAGGGAACCACAATCTCTGACCCACACTGTCAGAGCTTTGACCACACGCATCGAGCCTACGGCATCCATGGGTTGGTTGGAATCCTATGGAAAAGAGCTCTTCCCTCTTCTCAGCTCCCTTTTGAGGTGGCCTACACTTTTGGAGTTTCTGGCGTGTCGGCTTGTGCCAATGGGACCAAAAGGGGTTGCCTATATAAAAGCACACGCCCACACAACCTTCATGCGAGCTGACCGAAGGGGCCTAATCTTGGAGGTGCCGACCACCTTCAGCGGCATGTTCCTGTTCAATGCGGCTGTGATGGGCTCCTGGTCTTCACAAAAGCTCGTGTCATCTACTCATTGGCTTGCCTCTGTGGCTTGGTTTGTTTGATCTGTTTTGTTTCGACTTGGTTTAGTTTGTCTTATTCGGAGGAAACCACATTCAGGTGTCTGCTGGCAGCACCATCAAAGGTCCTGCCAAATGGGTATGTATCAACACAGGACCCCAATATGTTGGTTGGCCTTTTTGGCGTCCCTTTGAATCAACCTGAAAAGGGCTATTACCATCAAAAAGCACACACACACACACACGCACAAATGTTGCAGCGCCGTATTGTTTGTACCAACGCATAACGAGCTCACTCGGAGGTAAGATGAGCTCACACAGGAAGGCATTTTCCACCAACGTAGTCCAAAACGGCTTGTGCACTTCCATGGATAATAACATTTGTGTTTGTCAATCAACTTGGGTACCTTTGTGAGCATAGAAGCTAAAATCCATGGCTGTCAATTTGGGTGTGTGTCAAACTAGGGGGAACCCCCGCATATTTTGTTTGTTTCTGTCGTTTTCGAAAAAAGCAACCCCAAGAAAGGGTACCCACAAAAAAGAAGAACCCGCGCGTCCTTCAAGAAAGTGTGTTCTAAACTCATTGACGTGGCGCAACCGGGATGAGAAGAGAAGTTTGCCGGCAGACTGGCAAGTCCCAGACCCCGCGTGGAAACCTGTACGGGTCGAAAGGTCGACATGAAACCGCCGGATTTTTTTTAGGTTTTAGTCCATGGCTCCGCTAAACATATGCGCCGTATGCGCGTCGTCTTCCTATTTTCCGATGAGGGACGAGCTCGTCCACCGGAGAGTGACCTTTCGACTCGTGAGTCGAGGCGCAACAAGCCATCCCCTTCCCAAAAGCGTTACGATCAGGTCGGTGCACCAAAAGCAAGTCCGACACGAGAAAATGCGTCAGTCTCTCATGGCTGTTGGTCCAAGACAGAGTTTTCGCCAAGTTGGTGCTTGGTCTAGTTTGAGCTGATGTCAGCGACTTGCAGAACTGTCAGCCCTTTTCGTGATTTGGGCCATTTTCGTGGTGGCGACAATCATTCCTCCACGGCTGTCATGGTTGTGGGGACAACCCGGATTACGTATATCATCCTCAGAGTCCAAGCACCTTGAGCTTAGACCTTCCGGGTAATCAAAAGGAGTTTCGCAGCCACCGCCCACTGAATCACTGTGCCTTGGTGCTTTGCGGAATACCGCCCAGCCCCAGCCTTATCCTATCCAAACAGATTATGCTTGGTTGTTACCTGGGAGTAATACGAGCTCTTCGCCCAGATCTGGACTGCTATTGGGTTGGATCTTTAGACTTTAACTTTTTGGGAAATCAAGTTGGGTTTTCCACTAAACCCCCAAAAAGTTAAACTTTTTGCAGTGGGGTCAACAGCAACGAAGAGATATGGAAGCTCTGCGAGGCTTCGGGGAGAGCCAATGGATGAACCTGGTGCTGGACCGTTTGGATTCGATCGCCATGAACGCGGCCAACACTGGGCGCCTGCAGGAGAGACCATTTTTTTCCTCTGGAGCGAGGGTGCCTCACCAATGAGACGGGTAAAACGAGCTTGCCCATGATGGTCCTTTACTTGTGGGGTTCCAATTCTGATTTCCGGTTGAGAAGCAGAGAGATTGTCCTTGACCCCCCAATCACTATCTTGAATATGTAACCTAAATTGTTTCCCAAATGGTTTTGCTTGGTTTTGAAAGTGAAGTTATTTTACCCAAATAGTTTTGTTTGATCGACATGGTTGTACATCAGGAGTCCCGGACTGGGCGCTGGGTCGATCTGACACATGTGGCTGGGGTTGTAGGTTTTGGGCATGATCCGAGTACTGGAAAGGACCACCGAATTCCACACAAAATCCGGTGCCCAGCCAATTTTCCCCAAGCAACGGTCAATGTACAGTCATTTGTAGTCGAAAAGCCATAAGGTATAAGGCACACCCACCCGACTGCCACCAGAAGATGCAGGATGCTCGCCAAAATCCAATGTCCTTTTGGGGTTTTTTTTTGTGTCTGTTTTTCACGTCATTCGGCCTAGCCGCATGCAGGAAGAGTGCTATGTCCTGTCCATTCACCTGTCCAAGGTGAAGGAGACGCCTTCGGAAGGTTGTGGCATTTTATGCTCCAGTTGTCAAGCGTTGTTCGGACCGAAATTGGCAGATTTCTAGGTTCGACTGCGTGCATGCATTCAGGGAACTCCACTGTGAGCGGTCACTTCAAGTCAAGTTTCTGCGTGTCCCCAACATCCCAAGCCCCAGCATTTTTCGGCCTGCATTCCAAGCGTCTTGGAGGTTGTAGAGGTTGTAGAGGTTGTAGAGGTTGTAGAGGTTGTAGAGGTTGTAGAGGTTGTATATAGAGGTTGTAGAGGTTGTATATAGAGGTTGTAGAGGTTGTAGAGGTTGTAGAGGTTGTAGAGGTTGTAGAGGTTGTAGAGGGGGGCAGGGGGCCATCCAATCTATTTCATCCATCAAACGCAGAAGGCTATTTTCCCGCACCAATGAGCATTGTACCGATGCTTACCAAAGGGTTCACCCACTCATTTGAGTTAATGTAATCGCCAATCCTGCGCTTCCTTTTTACGGGCATAACTCAGGGTAGTCACGTAAGCAGCACCCACAACAGGCCCTGGGTTACAGCAAGGCCTATGGAAACCTTTAAATCCACGTCACTATATATATATATATACGCGTGTATATATATACATATATATATATATGTTTTCCAACTACCATGGAAGTGGTCGCAAGGGTTTGGAAGACCTCCACGCGCTTGAAGCGGCCCCTTGTCCACTTTTTGTTTGGGGCATGTCGAAAGTGGCTTGGATCATCCAGGACTTCTCTGGGGGCTTTTTGAGAAATCAGAGGACGCTTACCTCCGTGGCAGGCCAGGCCTTACATGATTCCTCGAATCTGTCTGGGTGAATTATAACGACCTCACACGACCTCACCCCAAATGGTGGTTTATGTGGGGAATAGCCCCCCAACCACCTTATTTCAGGTTGGTGAATTATTATAATTCACCCAGTTTCCCATCCATTCAGGCCCTTGGGACACTTTTCTCCCCAACCAGTTGGCCCTGGTCAAAAGCGGTGTGCCTCACTCCCGAGGTCCAGGACAACAGGGAGTCGTTTGGAAGCTTTTTCATGCTGGATGCGAAATCGTAGGGATACCTTCCATTTCCATTCTTTCCAGGGATCCGGATCTTTCTAGAAACTTCTCCGGAAACCCAAAGAAAACGGATCCGTTTTCTGAAAAGAACGATGGTTGAAAAAATGGACAAGGAATCAAACCCTAGAGAAATAGCCAAGAAAACCTCCGAAGGAAGGGTAGCCAAGGGATGGAGTCATATTTTTCTAGGGGTTGATTCCCATTCTTTTCAAAGACCAGATCCATTTCTGCAGGGTTTTGGGTGTTGTGTTTTTTTAGAAAGAAGGATCCCTGGAAAGAATGGACATGGAAGCTACCCCTAGAATTTCGCATCCAGCATCAAAAGCTTCCAAACCACTCCCTGGCATACCACTCCAGTCAGCCATGTTGCTTTCCTTTGGGCCCTCGGTTCGACCCAAATCTCGGGGTCCGCAGGAGGCCATCAACCTCTATGAGTTCAAGGCGGTGATGCTGGCGGCGCTGAGGTCTCTGGTGCCGGATGACTGGGCGCCGCGGCGAGAGACGAAACGACAAGGAGCCACCTGGCGAAATCCATGTCGCACCACTTTGAAACCATAGCAAACTATGGTTTTTGTTGGTATTTGTTTTGTTTTGCAGGGGAATCAAATCATTCCAGGCTTTCTTAGGTGGTGCGAAATGGATTTCGTCCATCCACAGTAGGTGTCCTTTTTGGTGGGGTTGCAAATAAACATGAGAGGGCGATTCCTGGTTTAGAATGGTTGGTTTATTTCCCATTTGCCCGGGCAACCCATCCAATTTGTCCAAAAGGCCACCTGTGATTCGCCACCTAGTCAGGCAACCCGTCAGGTTGGTGGATCGGATTTTTGGGATTTGAGTAGAGGGTACATGGGAAAGCCCGACCCGCGAAACCCATTGGAGGGAAGCTGAGCTAAGAAACCAATCGCCAGGAAATCGCAGCCAAGAATGATGCAAGCTGACAAAGTTCGGGCTTCCCCGTTGGAAAGAGGAAGAGGGGTCAAGGGCAGGGATGTGTGAACTCCTTTTGGGACCCCAGAATGCCGAATTGCTTTTTCAGGTGCCTTGAACGACTGCCAAGGGGACGCGACATCCCATGTCGCTGACAATATTGCCACTCCTCCGGATTGGCAAAGTTTGGGTGTCCTCAACCAGTTTTGTTTGGTCAGTTGCCTCCTGGGGATCACCCAAACAAAAGGGGAATGGTTCCCCGTGTCAGGGATTCCAGGCACGGAATTCGGTGAAAGTTGCTGCGGGCTTTCTCGTTTTGAGTGTTTGGGTGGAGGAAGCAAGCAAAGCTGTCCCAGCTGGTCGTTTGGATACTCAAAATGGTGAAGCCAAAAAAGGGTCCCCTACTCAAAATGGTCAAGCCCCAAACGGGTTCCTCAATTACTCAGAATGGTCGAGCCCTTTTTCCCTACTCAAAATGGTCGAGCCCCAAAACGGCTTCCCTACTCAAAATGGCCCAACCCAAAAAGGGTTCCCTACTCAAAATGGCCAAGCTCGGTTGCAAGCCAGCCTTTTTTTCTCTGGATTCTGGGGTGGGTTGCGACCGCCGAGAACATGGACCACGAAGTTGCGTGGAACTGGCTCTGGGAGAATGTGGAGCGGATCCTTCAGCCCCTCGGCTTGGAAGGCGGAGGAAGCGGATTTGATGGCCGGACTTTTCTCGATCCCATGGGTCCTTTTAAAGGGACCCCCCGTGCCCCAAGATGGCGATTTTCCCTTTTTCCCCCTTCAACCCTCAACAAAGAAGCCATGCCCAGGAGTTTTGCGAGGACGTACTTTTTTTGACCCCTTTTTTTGGGCCCGGGCACGTGCTGAGGAGGTACCAAGGGGACGGTTTGCCCTTTGGCGTTCCCTTATGTGTCCTGTCAATCTTGCAGAGGACCGCCCTGATGCTCCGACCAAAAACAGGCTTTGATGAACACCTGGGTTGTTGGAGTTAAGTAGACAAACGGCAATTGAGTCAAGCTTGGATGTGGTTGAATAAGTTCAACTTTTTGCAGAAGGGGCAACAGGAACCAAGAATGGTCCAGACCAACGGTTGCCTTGTTCCCTGTGACCAGGGTCATTCACTAAGAACTCCATGGGCACGTAAGGGCTTGCAGAGTTGAGGCAAACGTCCAGCGGATTCCTACCCCCCTACATTGCCACGGAACCCACCAGCGAAATAGTCCCATTGAGGAAACTGGTCTTCCAGGACCGCCGGTTCCATGTCTAATTTACTAAGCAGAGCTCAGTTGATATAGTCACCATAGATGCGGATACCCGCCATTTGGATTCTTTTCCATTTGGGGCTGCCTTGCCAGGTTTGAATATGGACACTAGCCTAGGTCCCCCAGTAGTGCCCTTTTTACCCTTTTTTTGGGCGAGGGTTCCCCCACTAAAATCGACTACGGAAAAAAAATCGGGTGCCCTCAGTCTAACCTTTTTACAAGAGGACCTAGCAGCTGCTTTTTCCACGGCGGGGCTGAGCCACGGAGGCGACGAAAAGAGCGGTGGCTTCCCCATGGTTCCATTTGCTGAAATGGCCATGGGGCGTTACCTATGGCTCCATTTTGGGGTGGATGAACATCCATTTGCCACCTATTTTGTGATGTTCACCAGGGGTACAGGGTTTTGACCCAGGGCCAAATGAATACTGGCTATTTCCCTCTGTTGCCAGTGCCCTCTTTTTTTCCGACTTTTTTTGGGTAAGGGTTCCCCTTAAACTCAACCAACAGAAAGGGTGCCCTTTTTTCCCCATAGCCAATGGGCGTCTGAGTTCCCCTTGTTGGTTTTAAAGATAATCTATCACTACTGGAAATATGTTTGTGCTTTCCAGGGGACTTAAGCAAATGGAAGTATGGGTTTTGGGATGGTTTGTTTTGTTTGTTTGTTTGTTTGTTTGTTGTTCTTCTTTTTAGCATGCTCACCAGGTCGACAATTTCGCTGCCACGCACCTACGAGAGGGTGGTCCGGAACTTCCTGCTGAATCTCTCAGAGGACTCGCGCGAATCGAATCTATGGCCAGGTGTCGAGAGGCTTCCGAGCCGTCCCGATCTTGATCCAAAGGCAAGGTGTCCATCTGGCTGCGGGTCAAACAAGCATGTACTCAGAATGGCTTGCCCTGGTTAATGGACTAAAACCTGCGGTTTTATGGTGGTTTAATTTTGCTGGCACATGTATGGTTTAGGAGCCAAGGATGTGCCCCTCTTTACCTTATGATCCAAATGCACATTTCGACTGAGGTACCATTCAGGTGACATCCTCAAGGTACCGTGTGGACTGCGGGTTGCAAAGGACCCCTGACAAAGATGGTCATTTGGAGAAGCCTTCGGGATGCAACCATTGTGGACCCAGCTCTACCCTTGGGCTTGTCCCAGCAACGCGTCTCAACGTGCAGGAGCACATCAACCAGCTCCGCCAGCTCACCTTCAAAATCTTCTTCGAGCGAGCTCCAGCTGGTCAGGAGAGACATCCCCCAGACGGTGGGAATTTTCAGTTGAGTGGATACAGTGGCCCATGTGCAGCGCCGTTTGTGTGCACCAGTGTGTGCAAACGCGTGTACCTGTGCCTGTGCCTGTGCGCTTGCGTGCGTGTGGCTGGCTGTGTGGCTGGCTGTGTGGCTGGCTCTGTGGCTGGCTGTGTGGCTGGCTGTGTGGCTGGCTGTGCAGCTGGCTGTGTGGCTGGCTGTGTGGCTGGCTGTGTGGCTGGCTGTGTGGCTGGTTGTGTGGCTGGCTGTGTGGCTGGCTGTGTGGCTGGCTGTGTGGCTGGCTGTGTGGCTGGCTGTGTGGCTGGCTGTGTGGCTGGCTGTGTGGCTGGCTGTGCAGCTGGCTGTGTGGCTGGCTGTGTGGCTGGCTGTGTGGCTGGCTGTGTGGCTGGTTGTGTGGCTGGCTGTGTGGCTGGCTGTGTGGCTGGCTGTGTGGCTGGCTGTGTGGCTGGCTGTGTGCTGGCTGTGTGCTGGCTGGCTGTGCAGCTGGCTGTGTGGCTGGCTGTGTGGCTGGCTGTGTGGCTGGCTGTGTGGCTGGTTGTGTGGCTGGCTGTGTGGCTGGCTGTGTGGCTGGCTGTGTGGCTGGCTGTGTGGCTGGCTGTGTGCTGGCTGTGTGGCTGGCTGTGTGGCTGGCTGTGTGGCTGGCTGTGTGGCTGGCTGTGTGGCTGGCTGTGTGGCTGGCTGTGTGGCTGGCTGTGTGGCTGGCTGTGTGGCTGGCTGCGTGGCTGCGTGTGTGGCTGGCTGTGTGGCTGGCTGTGTGGCTGGCTGCGTGGCTGCGTGTGTGTGCGTGTGTGTGTGTGTGTGTGTGTGTGTGTGTGTGTGTGGGCGCGCGTGTGTGTGTGTGTGTGTGTGTGTGTGTGTGTGTGTGTGTGTGTGTGTGTGTGTGTGTGTGTGTGTGTGTGCGTGTGTGCGCGGGTGTGCGCGGGTGTGCGTGGGTGTGCGCGGGTGTGCGCGGGTGTGCGCGGGTGTGCGCGGGTGTGCGCGGGTGTGCGCGGGTGTGCGCGGGT